CCCTCAGGGAAGCGCGGTTTCAGCAGGAATGGATATTGCTCTGGGCGGGGGGAGGAGACAAGTGGAACATCATTGTAAGGGAGTTCTAATCAGAAACCCTCAAATCTGAATGTGTAAGGAGGGAGGTGAGAAATGAGGAGAGGGAGGGACAAATAATGAAAAAGGGGTCAGTAGTTGACTGGAGGTCTCTACAGAGTTTCTTATGAAGAGAAAAAAATGTGTATGAAACATAGGAAATACAGCTGGTCAGGGAATACTGTGTTTTTTCAGGAACTGTGTCTGCTGAAAGCCCAATGGGTGGGGTGAAATATGGGAGCTAGATCCCATGCACAAGACTATTTTATGAGCACTGTTGCTAGGAGAAAAGTACAGCATATATATAAGGACTTATAAAATCCTTGACCATCACTTTGACTTTATGCCAGACCTCCTAAGAGCAGTGTCTATAATTCTCATACTGTACTATCCTGCCAGCATCCATAGAAGATAAGAGTTGTGTGGTTGATAGGCAACTGTCACAGAACGTGTAAGTGACTAATGAAGAGAAGAAGAGCACTCACAAATCATTTTAGCCAAACAGAATGCTCCCCAAAGGACACAATGTATGTCACTATCTAAGTCATCCACGCGTCAGACACGCTCTGGTTCAACGGGCATCTCCACTTCAGTTACTCCACTTTGTGCTTCTTACCCTGTGGAAGCTGATGTAAGTCTCTGTCTGGGAAGAATACATTTTCAAAGGTATGCCTTCAACGAGTACTTTTGGAATGAGAAGGTATACAGTAATTGAACGCCATTTATCTTTACTTAATTGTGGTGATCCCAGGCACAATGCCAAAGCATGTTATGGATGTTGTAAGTCCTGGCACCTGCGCTTGTACTTAAAACTATTTTGTGAGCAACATTATACGGTGAATAGAGTTTCTATTTACTTTCTTTTATTGGCTTTCTTCATCATTGTCATGATTGTCTAACATTCATTGAAGGTCCATATGGTTTTAGCATTATGTAATTCTATATAGTTTTTGAAAGAAACAGAGCAACATAGTATGAAAAAGGAACATATAAGTATTATGCCTTTAAAAGGGTCTTATATAAAAGACCAGCATTATAGACACTGGAAATTATTTGAATTTTTATTAAGAATTTACTCTGTTTTTTTTTTTTAAATAAAGTAACTGAAATAGATATATCTTAGCCATGATGTACACTATCTAAATCAACTTCCTGCATTAGTGAATTGGTTTCTAAAAATGGTCCCAATAAAATAATATCCGCATTTCATGTAGCTTCATCTTAATTTGTAATAGTAGCACAGTCTGAGGTCTTCAAATTAAGTTTTAATTTAACAACCCTTACACCGTGAAAAAGCTGGCTGGCCTGAGCTGGAATTGGACCTGTTAAGGAAACACGCTGCATTTACGGAGATCCCCAGAGAGGACCAAAATACAGGCTTCAAGTGCCCCCTGGTGGCTGATAAGCAGAGTAACCAAATATAATTTGAAGTTCGGAATAAACAGGCACATGCCAAAGTTCTTTCCCTAGTCTCAGTTATTTTTTTCATTCATTCAGTTTAAAGAGTTGATCAAGAATTAACTCCATTATTCACTTAGGAGCAAAGATAAATATACCAAAAAATAAAGAGGATCAAAAGATAAACTCCTCTCTGACATGAACTGCTCATAGAATGTGGGTGACAATGACTAGATAATATCAATCCTCCATGCTAAATGCTATAATAGTAGCATTTATTCTGTTTCAATCAAATAATGTTGGTATTTTTTTTTAGTAATTCTTATGGTAATTAACATTATCTAGAAATTCCCCCCAAATAAAAGCAGCTATTTTCTCCATAAATGTAATTTATATATCTATATAAATCCAGGAAACACGTAGTAAATACATATTTCTAGAGTTCTTCCTAGGAGTGAAATGAATCTATGTTGCTTTTTATGATTATCCTATTGAGTATTTACAGTTTTTAAGTTAATTTCATACTTGCCAGTTCAGCATTATCAGATCTATTATGCAGATGAGAAAACTGAGGCAGAAGAGGCAGTCTTACCTGATAATGCAGTGTTAGATGAGACTAGAACACAAATTGTTTGATTGTACCTGTTTGTTTTCTTGGTGGATTCATCCAACGACTTTGTGTGGTTTCTAATGGTAAATATGAGGGGTTTTAATGAAGTCACTGCGTAACATGAGACGGCAATTTACAAGAAGGGTTAAAAAACAAACGCACACATTGGATCATTTCCAACATCAGCTACTGAGCAGCTGTCACAATTCTCTTGAGTTCAGTGGAGACTGTTATCGAGTTATGAAAAGTCCCATATCCAATTACCCGTCCTCTGCATCATCAGGCCCAGCTTGGCACTGCTCAACCAAATGATACATTTGTGATGCCAAAGCAAAGTGATTACCTAAATAATTTAGTTGGGTCTTCTTTAATCTTATACAAGAAAGGCTTATAGTAACCCTAATCAGTATTTTACTCACCCAATGCAGTCACGCAACAATAGCCTCATCATATTTCCAACACTGAACATGAAAAGGTGCAAGATTTTTAAAGAATGTATTCCTGGTTAATATAAATCAATGATGTGAGTCAAGATGTTCACAAAATTGGTTTATTTGAAAGATATCAATAGCTCTAGATGCACACTACAAGACATTTTGATGTCAAAAAAAAAAAAAAAAAAAAAAGAATCCTAGAGATGATGGGCTTCTCAGCACTATCATTTTAAAGCTGCGCTCTTTAGTATTTTAATTGCTACTTTTTTCAACTCAATTATTTTTTGTTCCATCTCAAACTACTTGCATAACTGTTTTGTTTTCTTATATTTTGTTTTGAACTATTAAAATAGTATCTCTGTGAGCAATTTTTGGTTTGCTTTTATATACAGTCCTATGAAATAAGAACTCCCTGTTGTATTTAACATTTCCTCTGTACCATGTTTCTTTTTTGATAATGAGTAGCAGAATGATGAATTTAACTACTATTTACAATATTGCTTTATGAGATGAAACAAAAAATTTGGGGAGGTTTTGTGATTATGTGTGCATGTCTTTGTTCAACATTTTACATAATTAAGCCTAGTTGGTTCCAAGACTACAATTAAAATATAAATTCATCAGAAAGTAAAATTATATTCCTGGAACGTGAACCAAAAATTAATGCTTTTTCTCAAACCAACTGTATTTTTACGTTTTTTGTGCTCCTAAAATGTTCACTCACTTGTTCACTTATTATTTTTGTCCATTCACCCACAAATAAATATCATACAGAGCAAAAAAAAAAAATTTTCCCTCCCCTCCAGGAGATGCATGCAAAGTTCTAGAACTATTGTGTTGAGGACAAATTATGCACAGGTGCTTTTGATAGAAAAACAGCAGTGGGAAATCTAAATCAAATAGAAATGTCAGAATGTTTTAATAAATCAGGCAGTATGCCAAGGTTGCAGGTTCAATCCCCAGTAAGGGCACATACAAGAATCAACAAATGAATGCATAAATAAGTGGGACAACAAATCCATGTCTCTCTCCCTCCCTTCCTCTCCCTAAAATCAATACATAAAAAATATTAGTAACTCAGGCAGAATTTTGAAGGCCAAGTAAAAGATAAAGGGCTTTCAAATAACTTGATACGTTTGGGAACTCTTAAGAGAAAGAAGTAAATGTCAGATCAAGAGGACCTAGGTTCTATGGCTGTGTGAATTTTACTCTGCAAATCAGGAAGAGCCATTGAGTAGTTTCAAGGGAAATAAAATGAATCTTAGCAAGGTCACTTAGGCGAGAGTGGAAGACATACTAGACGATTCATGGAGCAGCTAGAACGAGGAAACATTAAGTGCCTACTGCACTCACCTGGGCTTGAACTAAGGCACTTTAGAGGGCAGGCAGTGGACAATCGACAACGTTGCCACATGCAAAGTGGTCCTGTATCACCAGCATAAGCAAGCATTGATTGGGAGTTTGTCAGAAATACACAATCTTGTGCAACATCTCTTACCTTCCAAATCACTATTTTAACACTCAAGTGATATGTGTCTGGGAGGTGCTGCTCACATTAATAATACAGTAGGGATAGTTATTGGAGGGAAAAAGAAGTCACTATCTTAGGTGTGGTCAGTGTTCATGGAACATCCAAGGAAGCTGATCCACAGATGGGTGTACGGGTATGGAGGCTGGGTTGAAGTCTGGTTTGGTGATGCAATTTACCATTTATTAACCTGTTAGTATTTGAAGTCATGATCCGACCCGTTTCCTGGGATTTTCCCAGGGAAAGCGTATCATTAGTCAGGCAGAGGGCCCAGGAGCAAGCCTTAAGAAACACCATTATTTCAAGTCCCGTACAGCCAAGGTACTCCACAAGAAACAGAAGGAACTCCAGTGGGAGGAATGAACAGTGTGAGGAGTGGGAGGAAAGTTCCAGTAGCAGGCTGCTCAACATTCTCAGTTTCCAGCAGAGGTCACTTAAGTATAGACAAGAATCCATTGTATTTGGCAATCTTGATGTCAGAGTAAAGCTATGGGTGGAGATTATTTCCCATTAAGTTCTTTCTTGACCTTAGTATGTGGGGATGTGAGTTAGACTTTCTGCTTTCAAAGTTCAGATGAGTAGATATGTGAGAGGAGCTTGGTATGGAGCCAGTTTGCAAATGTTCTCTCTTCCAATAGGATGGTAAATTCTTTGAGGAATAAGGCAGTCACATAAAGATGAGTAAGACCCAGTCCTAACTCTCAGAGTTTGTAACAAATAAGAAATAAGACAACTGTAGTACAAGATGGGGCATGGATTATAAAATATTATAGGGATTTTAGAGAAATACACTGTATCTAGACAGTCAGAAGAGGCTGCTTCATTCTCTTCAGTTGTTAGCACAGAAATATGCACATACTTAATAAACTATATGACTTGCTGACTTTTTCCTCTAATAAATCTGGTGGGTTGTTGAAAAGTCCCATTTATTCCAAGATCCAAGGAAACTTCAAACTCATTCATGAGATATTTATTAAAATAACACATTTAGGGAAAAAAAATCAATACAATGTATACATCATTACCGAAAACTGTATACCATCATACAAAAAAGGATTTTATTTTGGGAAAGCGATTCCTAATTTATGGCAAGTTTTACTTTCAGAAATAAGACCACAAAACAACACAATCTAATTCAATCTTAAAGGCTGGCATGCTGAGCAAGGAATGTTCTTATTCTTTGTAGAAGCTCCTTCTTTACACTGTCAGGTACCAGGGCTGAAATATAAAAATAAATATATAAGAGTAAGAAGATTCCAAATAATATGTCATTTTGAGACTTGATATTTTATTCAGGATGACCAATTCATAAATTTATTTATAATTCATTTTATAAACAACCCTGTTATAATTAAAAAAATAGCTAATCTGAAAAGTAAAGTATATTTACAATTTATTATTTTAATGAACTGTCAAAAAATGAAATACACTGCACACTGAAAAGAAAACATGGGAAAATTCTTTAAACTAGGAGTGAAAAAGGCCTTTTTTAAACACAGAGGCTGTAAGAGATTGATACATTTAATTCAAATGTAACACCGAATTAATAAACTTGGTCAGAATCATTGTAAACAAAGGCAAAAGACAAAAACTGGGAAAAACTTTACAGAAACAGGCTAATCTCTCTACAATTTCTTCAATTTGATGAGAAATCACCAGGCTAATAGAAAAATGAGCACAAGAGATAAAGAATCAATGCAGTTCTTGAACATGAGAGGGGGTAAACCTTACAATAAAAACGAAAATTAAATACACAATCGGATAACATGTTTCACCAATCGAATTGGCTAAAATCCAAAGGTCAATAATATGCTGTGTAGGCAAGACTGAGGGAAAAACTGGCACTCTGACATTAGCTGGTGGGAGTATAAATTGGCACACCATTTTTGGGAAGGTAATTTAGCAATATTTTACAGAAATAAATGTACATACTCTCCCTGACTCAGCAAAGGTGTTAAAGCCACAACACTGGTTTTAATTCTTATATTCACTTTTTGAATTTGAACCACATGACTATATTACCTATACAGAGTATTAAATGAAAAATGAAATATAAAAAAAAGCCCTGCTCTTTAAAGTTTTAATTAATATTAAATGTCAGTAAACAAATCTACATTATTGTTTCCTTTCTGGCTACTAATAAATAAGGGCTCTAGAAGAGTTTACTAGCAATTCTAATGTTTTCTGCTTGTATCCACAGGCAATGGGAAGCTTCAGATAGAGTTCAGTATTTCCATAAAGAATTCCAGAAATTAGTACACAAATCAAATGAGACAGATACTCCACTGCATTAAACTGTTTAGTTTAAGCCTGCCTAGAAACAAAGATTACATAATCAATTCAAGTCCACTGGAAATGGAATCAATATATATGAAACACACCTTTAATAAAAATTATGGTGATGGAGAACAAATCTGCTGCCTTGGCGTTGGGGACAGGGTGTGAATAAATACAGAAGCACAGTGTGAGGGAGTTTTACGAAAGCGGTGGTGATATGAAATTATACATGTGTATAAAAAAACTCACAGAACTGCACACTAAAAAAAAAAAGGGTCAACTCTGCTGTGTATTTAAAAAAATAAAATGCATCTACCCTTAACAATAAAGAAGACTAAGAACATAAACCAACAGATTCCACTTCTTTTTACCTTTATTGCTCATTCTCTAACAGGGGAGCTACAATGGACTGATATGTCTACGGTACCAGAGTTGAAGCAAAAACAAAGAATAATTTCTACCCTGTAAAATCAGCTCCTAAATAATGTTAATAGATCAAGCATAAACTACAGAAGAAAAATAGAAAACCAAGTCAGGGAAAATTGTTTTAAAATATAAATTCTGGGGGGAACAATAAATACTGTTGGTTTCTTTCCCTTTCCCTGAGATGTGTATAAAGAAAAGGTCAGGTTTTTGTAGCTGTAAATAGGCCAGAAGAGATGGTGGAATCAACAGGGGTTCCCTGGCTCCTTCCCAGCAGGTGAGCCGTTTGGGAAACTAGTCGTCTCATAATTATTTTCAAACTCGTTTACTTTTTACACTTAAATTCTTTTTACTATTTCTGTGTGATAAAGCAATAGGTCATCTTATTTACCTGCTTCTACTTAAACTTTCTCAAAATAAATGAAAAAAAATGTAGCTCCATCTGAGATAATAATATTTATTATATAGCACTGATGTTAATCCATTTCCTTTCTTTCCTTTGCTTCTGTAAACAAGGCATTAAAGGGAGAAATGAAAGTGGTTGTAGTGTGAATGTTAAGTATGGATTTCCCTGAACATGAAGTTTGGGGCTACCAACTTCTTAATTAAGACATTCAAGAAGACAGACCTTTGTTTATTTTTAAGAAACAGAGACAGAGCAATGACTCAGGGATAAAAGTAAAATTTTGAATGATTAAATATTTAAGTAAAGTCAGGCCATATCTAATAAAGTTATAAATCTTAGCTTCAGGTAATATTTGTCCTTACAAGATCCCATATTTTAAAAATTATCTGCCTTGACAACTATGTCAACTTATTCGTATGCTGTTTTAGTGTGCAAAAACATGTTATGCCTCTAATCTCATCTGTTATTCAAAACAGCATTAGAGAGGCAGACAGGCAATTGTAATTTTCCCCAATGAGGAAACACCAAGTACTCTAATATTTTTGAAAAGGTGGTTCTTCCTTGCAGAAAGAAAAGCTGAACCAGCAAGAGAGAAAAAAACCTTGTCTTGAGCACATGCTTCTTTTCAGACAATTTGCATTCCTTACCTCTGCCTTTTGGTGTGATTTCAGCCACCAAGTCATCAACAGTAACGTGTTCTAGTCCTTTTTCTTTAATTACCTCTTATGCAAAAGTAAAAAACAAATCATATCATTTAAAATCATTATCTGTAAGAAAGATTTTCATAGAGGAAGGATTAAGATCATGTTTTTAGAGTGCAGATTGGTCTTAAAAAAAAAAGAGGACACTTCTTTTTTAATGAATATTTAGTTCAACTTTAAACACATTTAAGTATTCACCAGATAAAATCATAAAAGCTTGTTCATCTCACATCTAAATAATCTGTAACTTAACAAATATTTCACAGAATCAATTTGAACTGGGGTCAAATATAACATTTGTAAAAGCTGGAAACTTGTAACTGCACAGATTTTATTTCACTACAACCATACCAGCTCTTAAATGTATGGAGTGAAAAAAAGCTATTATTTGCATCCAACTTATAATTTTATAGCCCAAAATTAAAATATAGAACTCTTTTGCTCCTTTCTTTTCCTTAGATTACAACAAAAGAAATAAAGGAAGGAAAGTAGTTAAAATTTATTGAACCCCTATCATGTGCTTGATGCTTTACATCATTTAACATTTATCTAATGGGTTGGGCATTTTTTTCCCACTTCATAGATTAGGCAACCAAGGCATAAAGATTAAATAACTCATCCAAAATGAGTTGAAATACAGCTCTAGTCTTTTACCAGTGAAGATCTTACGACCTCAAAGTCTATGTTTTAACTAATTTGTCCTGCTGCCTTCTTAGGGTTGTTATAAATCGTTGCTATTATTGCTTGTAAAAACCATCACAATACAATTGGAAATCATCAAAAATAACCAAAATGCTATCATATTAAAAGTTGAGCCAGTAAGGAGGCTTATCTTAGTAACATACGTAATCCATCATCAACATGAAGCAATTTAACAAGCTCTCATTCTACATTTAAAAAAAACCCGAAATTCTCTAAGAGCTTTTCAAATGAATTTTTCAAAATAAAACATATTAGGAATAAGTAATGTTTCACTTTGAACAGGCACTCCGAAATAGGTGGCATTCCACATTTTGAAGCTAGAAAAAATCTTGCCTCACTTAAGAGAAAATTTCTAAAAACTTAGGAATTAGGTCTAAATATTATCACAAAGAGGAGAAAATCGTTACTACAAGAGTCAATTTTCCATGTATGTAATATTATGTCCGAGTACTTAATATACCTTTAAAATACTGACTGTAATTTTTCTAGTGAACCCCAAACCAACACAGCTGAGAGCAACGGAATTAGCTTATCTTCTAAGTGAAACTGATTACCTTTACAGTGTGCCTTCAATTGGTCCTTCCAGCCACATTCAATTAATTTAGCTCTCAGCAGCTCTTTGAGGCTGTTGAAAAAGAAGCAAAAGAAGTGTTTTCAAATTAAACTACAACAATGTACAATATCTTAGATAGGAATGTTTCAATCAAAGGTTCAACTCTTCAATTAAAAATTCCCTACTTTCTAGTTTAACTATGAACCAAACTATTTGGTTAACTATTTAACCAAAACTTTAACTATGGCCTAATCTGGATTCCATCACGAAATAGTTTAAATAATTCTTCCATCCTCTGAGAGTCACTTAAACTCTGGGGCTCATTTTCATTATCAGTTAAAAAAAAAATTGATGGGGGCACAATACTCCTCAAGAAACTCGAATCTGGCCTTCTGACAGTCTGTCTGCTTCTCTCCACTATCAGGAATCTTGGGGGTCTGTACAACTACTGGAGAGTGTTAGCCTAGCTTGGAACAGCTTCACCTCTGAAACCTTCTAACTCCAAAATCCCTTCTTCGACTACAAGTTCTTATCCTTTGGCTCTCTTACTTCCCTGTTATTTTTCTCTCTAACCTCAAAGACATCCCCCCGGCTTTTTCCATTAATCTTCTAAATAATACATCAAGTATGTATTTCATTGAATCTAACACTTTTTTTTCCTATTTAAACAATTCAGTAATTGGCATACCTATAATAATTTGATTAACAGGGTTTTCTTGTTTCTTACTGGTTTTAAAAAAAGGTATATATTGCAACATGGATGTAATGAAATATTTTCGTAGCAGCATTTTCTTACTCTTTTGCCATACCCACTCTTACAAATCCTCAATCTTCAATCTAAATCACCTAATTTCTCAGTTTAACCATGTCACATTCCAAACCAAATCTCTTTCATTATTCCTATACCTCCATTATGTGACATCTCAATATTTAATCAGGCCTTTCAATCGTAACGGGGCCCAAACCCAAGTCATGCTTCTCTCCAACCTTAACCTGTCCTCCATCCTTCCAGTTCCTCAGGCTAGAAACCTTGGCAGCGCCCTTCACTGCACCTTTAACACTACATTTCTGATCCATGAGCAAATACTATTGGTTCCAGTTTTAAAATATGTACCTGTGATCCTGATGGGTTCCATCACCGATCGCCACGACCACCCTTGTACAAGCTACCACCTTGTCTTGCCTGGCTGTTTAGCAAATCTCCTAACTTGTCCCCTGCTCTTTCCCCTTGTCCTCTTCCATCCTCCTCCTGCTGCTCAAACCTCTCTGGTGGCTTCCCAATTTACTCAGGATAAACTTCAAGTCTTATTACAGCCTAAATGACCCTCCATGATCTGCACCCCCCCATGTCCCCAGGTATCCCTGACTTCAGCCCTTTTTCCCTAATTTATCCAGTCTCATTAGTTTCCACGTGCTCCTCAAAAATGCCAAAAAGTTCCTGTGCCAGGACTATGGCTCTTGGAGACTCCCATCTCCCTTATAGCCTTCTAATTTCTTATCAATCAGATAGGAAATTATCTAATTGTTTTTCCTATCCAAAATAGCATACCCCATTATTCTGTTTTGTTTTCCCTCTAGAACTCATTACAACCTGACATATTTGACCTTTATTGTATTTCCTCCCATTAGAAAATGAAAGGACATACTTCATTTTGTTCACTGGTATAACTTCAGCACCTTAACAGGACATGGCCTATGGTAGAGACTCAGTTACTAAGCTGCATAGAAACAAATTTAAAAAATCTGTCATCTATACTCATTACTGGCAATACCATCCTCTCCATTTCCTAAGGCACCTTTTTAAGTTTCCACCTTCTTCCTCATTTCTGATTTTACTTAAAAAAAAAACACCAAAACTAAGTTCTCCTTCCCATGTTACTGTTTCTCATTTTTAACCCAATATAACTTTCTAAACACATTCTTCTGCTAACGCTTCCCGTCTCTCCTCCACACTGCCACAATAACATTTCCTGAAGTGCAAATGTGATTTAGTCATTCCCCTTTTAATAATCTTTTAATGACTCCCACTACCCAAAGATAAAATCAACAACAGATATTTTTGCAAACCCACCACCCATTTTCCTGTCCCCTTTTCTGATGGGGTCGGGGGAGGGAACCTCTGCCACTCTCAGTGTAAGAATTTCGGAAGCGTTCTAGTGATGGAAATGTGACTCAGGCAGGGGTGATCATTACTGGCCTATTACCTAAGTCAAATGTACAACAGACCTAGGTCTTTACTGAAACTACTAGGAGGAAGGTAGTCTGAGCCAGAGGGGCACACATTTTGAACTACAAATCGCTGTGGGTAGAGCCTGTTTGAGACTAAAGCCAACACAGAGGAAAGGAGACCTGAGGGAGGAAAAGACAGACATGTTCTTGACGATAATTTTTGCGTGCCTGGACCCAGTGGTGCCTGAAGCAATTTCAAGCTCTAGACTTTTTAGTTAGATGAGCTTCTATATTTCCATTGGTTAAGCCAGTTTCGGAGTTCAGTTTCTCTCATGTTCAAGTTAAAAAATTCCAACTTATTCAAAATCTACTCCTGCTGTCCACTGTTCCAAGCACACAGCTTTACCCGTTAGCTTTAATTCTGCACTTCCTCAGTACATTATCATGTTGCAACAAAACTCTGCGAATCTACAAATTCTATTCCATCTGCCTAGATTATCTTTTCTTTTACTGGCTTGGGGAAATGTTAATCCTGCTCCCCGAGCTGAGTATTCTGAGACCTTAACTGATCATCTTAACCCCCAGGTGGAGCTGAAAGATCCTGCCTGTCCCTTATATATATTTCTCTCATACAATTTATTACCCTGCTTCTGGAAGCCTTTCTTGATTCCTCAGCCTCCCCTTTGCACTTTCAAACTTTTTTTATTCATTTTTCAAATATTTATGTGGCCAATTATAAGTTAGGTACGATACTGAGAATACAGTGGTATTTCTGCTCTCATGTAACTTAGATTATACTGAAGAAAAGAAACTAGCAAAGTAGGTGGTCAAGATACAATGTGATTAAATGCTATGATAGAACAAAGTTTTTCGGAGTTACCAGATACTAGGGAGAGGTATTTAAATTAAGACCTGAAAGATGAGCTAGAAGCAGTGAAAGATTAGGGAAAAACAGAGGAATCTTTAAGAGAATAGGAATAGTGCATGTTACTCTGAGATTACGAGAGCCTGGCAACTAAAACTGGTTCTATTATGCTGTCTCTCTGTTAAAAACTGGGTATCATTATGTCTCCAATTGTTGAGAATTTTTTCTCTATTATACAGAATCATTTCTTGTTTTGTTTTTTTAAATTTTATTTAGATTTTATTTATTTTAGAGACAGGGGAAGGGAGGGAGAAAGAGAAAGAGAGAGAGAGAGAGAGAGAGAGAGAGAGACAGAGAGAGAGATACATTGACTGGTTGCCTCTCTCACACCAAGTGGGGCCCTGACTGGGAATCGAACCTGAGGCCATTTGGTTTTCAGGCCAGCATTCAATCCACTCAGCCACACCGCCACACCAGCCAGGGCTCTTGTTCATCTTTCTACATCACCCATTTCCCTGTAAGTCTTGCAATACTTAACAGACCTAACTGTTGTTTATAGATGTTAGGAACCGAAGCTTTTGACAATCTCTATTGTATGTAATTCTTTCCCTGACATTAGTTTTGTTCCTTCATATTTAGATTTCTACATATAATGTGACTATAATTTAAAGCTGTTAAGCGTAATGTATTAACACAGTCTATTACTCACCGTTCTCTTTCTCCAGTTTCTATCAACTTTTGGTTAATCGCTGCTCTCATCTGCGCATCTTTGTTCATCTTGCTAACCTGAATATCAACATGTATTTTCAGATATAGAACACTTACAAAGCATTTTCTTCTAAATTCTCTAGTAAGCATCTCAACATGTTTAATATTCTATCCACTAAAGGGGTGATAAATTTCAACAATGTGTTAACAATGTCATTACACTTAATATTTACTGCATCCCAAGAAATCATACTGATGAACTCAATTTTCAACCCCCATATACCCTTTATTAAAATGAGTATTTAGTAATTATTGTAACATTTATTAAACACTTATATGCCTGGTACTGGGCTAACACATTGTTATTTTTTATTTCGTTTAACTCCCGGAACTTATTACTTTATATAAGTATTATTAAGGTAATTTGTATTTTACAGATGAGGAAACTGAGGCACTGAGAAAGAAAGTGAAGACTGGTGTTTTGACCCCAGAATCCCCCCTCCTCCAAACACTTTAACATCACATCATAACTGAATGCTAATCACTTCTGTACCTTCACTGTGTTCAAAATTTTGGGGAAGCCATAACTTAACCTAAATATACATAAAAGATTAAGCACTGTTGGTGAAAAATGAAATTTCCATGTAAGGTTCTAAGTGCTTTACTTTTCACTAGGGTGAATTCAGAATCACAACTGCAAAGCCAGCTGTGAGTACACTTGTGTTTGCTCTTTTTCGAAGCCTGCTGGTCGGATGAGGGGAAAACAAATCCCAAACTAATTCCTAACTTGGAAAATTCTCAATTTTCAGTAAGAACAGACAACCAAAACCAAAACTGTGTAGAAAGAAGAGGAAGGTTAGGTTGTATAACTTGGAACAAGCTAACCTTACTTTTATCGTCTCCCATCTGGCCTGTATGAAAGCTCAAAGACTGGCGGAGAGTTTTCAGAGTTAATTTTTTTTTTTCCCCCTTCTTGGAGAGGAACAGGAAAAAGGAGTGGTTGAGACAGGACTAGAAAATGTTTGTTTTTGTATTTGGGAGCTGACATTTTCAAAATAATTCTAAGGTCTAGAAAGTGTCATTCCTAGAATACTGAACTTAATCTCGCCTTGGCCCCTAAAATACGGGTAGTGACCTTGGACAAGTCGATTCTTAAAGACCTCAGTTTTCTCACTGGTAAAACAAGGGCGCTAGGGGATCCCTCCCAGTTCAGACATTCTTTAGGAAAACAGAACAGGGCGGAGACAGCAGGAGAGGCGGGAGGGGAGGAGCCAGAAAACAAAGCGAGGACTGGCTACAGGCCAACTCCGGTAGCACGCCCTGTCGGAGAGCCCTACAGGCCCGCGAGCGCGGGTCGGGGAAGCTAACGAAAGACAGCACATCGAAAGGAGCCTGGGCTGGGCCCGGGTCCCGGCCCTGAGGACCACGGGCATAGCTCACCACCATCACCGCGGGCGAGGGCCGTCCCTTCCCAGCGACGAAATGACCCTTGCGCTGACGACCGTTACCTACCACACTCTTCGGCTGCCCAGACTTAGACCCTCAGTAGCTCGGGCGCCTAAGCACACAGAAAGCTAGAACACGCATTTCCGGGGCGGGGTCTCGCCACCCTGCCTATAATGTGAGAATTTAACCAGCGCGGGCCGCCTTCTGCTCGCTCAGCCCTCTGGGTAAGAGAGTCCAAATCCTACTGCCACAGGGGCAGTGCGTCTCCTGAAAACTACGTGGCCCAACATGCAACAGTCAACTTTCTCAGGAGCACTACATTTCCCAGAGGGCATTCTGCACCGCAGTGTTTTCTGGGATGGGACCCACGCAGCCTCCCAGCATCTGGGTTACGAGGGAAGCGCGGACCTTTCAACAAGAGCTTTATTAATTCTCAGGTCCGGATCCTGGAAAGCGATGGAGGTGGCCGCTAATTGCTCCTTGCGGGTGAAGAGACCTCTGTTGGATCCCCGATTCGAGGGTTACAAACTCTCTCTCGAGCCGTTGCCCTGTTACCAGCTGGAGCTTGATGCAGGTGGGAAGCGGCGGCGCCTCCTTGCACTCTTCCTTACCCCATTCGGCTGCAAAGGGCCAGACCCTTCCCGCATTTTCTTTCTTTCTGATTCGGGCAGGCAAGGCGGCTTGGGCCTTCCTTACTGACCCGTCGGACTGGGGTGGACACAGGGTGGCGGTTTCTGGAGGACGCCCGTCACGGAACTCCGTGGGAGCCACCTTCTCGCCGTTCTTTTGTAGTGGGACCACGGGCCGGCACTCGGCTCCGCCGCCCGTACTCCGAGGTCCGGCCCCCGAGTGCTGCTTGGTCTGAGGCCGCCTGTCCATCCCTGGCTTGGTCCGTGCTGCGGAGAAAGCTCAGAATTTGATCCCCACCCTGGAGCATTCTCTGTGAACGTGAGCGTTGAGAAGCCACACCTCTTTGGAGGACCCTCAGCTCCTGTTTTCTCTGACCGAGACCCATTTCTTAAAAGAGAAACTCCATCGCAGTTCAGAGCATTTTCAGTTACCTGGGTAATGTCAGACTAAGGACTGTCCGTATTGTAGAGAACATCTCTAGACAATTTTGAAGAAAAGTTGATTTTCGTGCCCATACTTTACTTGTTTTGTTTATCTGTAGCTGGTTAGAGTATTCATCTTTTCTTCCTTAAGGTAAAGAATGACATTCTCATTGATGATAAAGAGCCCAGAGAGTTACATTTTTACTTAATAACACCCTCGCTACTTTTGATGCATGTTGTCAGTGGATCACACTTTGAAAAATGCTGATCTGGAGTTGTAATTAATAGTTTCGTAGTACCAAATAAGTAATGTGTTTAATTCATTTATAAAATTCAGAACATCTATCGGGAGCCTGTTGTATGTTACATGCTAATATCAAGAGGAGTAAGACACTATAACATAAAGGTTCACTTGTCTAGTTGGGAAGAAAAGTGAACAGGTAATTATAAAACAGTACGGTAAAGCAGTAGGATATGTACAAAACATAATGGTAGTACTTAGTAATGTTCCAAACCAGCCTGGGAGATCTGGGAAGGCTTCCTGGAGGAATCGCTATCTAAGTTGTGCTTTGAAAGGAAAGTAAGAGTTGACCTGGGTAAGAAAAAATGAGCTTGGTTTTTCTTTTTATTCCATTCCTTTCCATCCCCTCTCCCACCTCATATCAGTAAATGGTACCACTATGTTTAGTTAGTTCATGCATTAAAAAAATCACCCCAAAACTGAGTGGCTCATAAAATAAGCAGTTATTGTTGCTTGGAGGTTTGCAGGACCGGTAGGTGGTTTTAGGTTTGGCTTGGTCTCATTTATACATTTTTGTTCTGTTATGGATCTAGCTAGTCCAGACTTATTCCGAGAGACAAGTAGCAGTGCACAAGCACTTTTTTCAAGCTACTGCTTCAAGTAAGTTTGTGATTTTCTCATTGGCCTAAACAAGTTACATAGTCATGCATAGAGTAATTACAGCAACTTTATTCCAAATGGCATAGATCCAGGGAGGCATAAAAAATTGGGACTATTAGTATAAGTCCATATAGTTGCTTATGCTGAAGTCATGGAGTTATTTCTTCTTTATTAATCTCAGATTTTTTATAAATCTGTCAGCAGATCCAGTCGGCTCAAGATTTTGACTTTTTCATGCCTCTACCCTTGTCCAAATCACAGTTATCTTACCTGAACTTTAGTAGCTTCCTGACTATCCTTCGTGTCTTCACTTTTGGGCTCCTTCATTCCATTCTCCATAAAGCAGTACAATCATAGTTTTTAATTCTGTATTTACTTGACATCTGTTATCTGTACCAGACTGAGCTCCTTGAAGACAGTGATGTTTCTCCTTTGCTCATGACTCTGTCATTGCTCTTAGCATAGTAGGTACTCAATAAATTGAGTGAATGAAGGAGAGGAAGAGGGGAAAAATCTGAGAAAGTGAGACAGGACTTAGAAATATAGGTGAGGGCATTGTTTGTCTTTTGGATTTTTATCCTGTCTGCTTCCCAGACTTCTTCATGGGCCCTTACAATAAAAAATACAGCTCACCTGTCATAGATTTGCCAACTTTTAAAAAATGTTCTTTTCAATCCTTAACTGTGAACATGCTTATTGATTTTAGAGAGAAGGGAAAAGGAGAAAAAGAGAGGGAAGGAAACATCTATATGAGAGAGAAGCATCGATCAGCTACTCACCCCCTGCCCCGCACACACACCCCGACCAGAGATGGGACCCACAACCCAGGCATGTGCCCCGACCTGGAATCAAACCTGCAAGCCCTCGGTCCATAAGATGACACTCCTGCTAACTGAGCCACACTGGCCAGGGCAGATTTGCCAACTTTTTAGTTTGCCAAGTAGAGATGTTTCCTAAAAACTGTCACATGCTCACCCATCCTTTCAGAAATAATTTTAACACTGAAAAAGCAGGAAGCAAAAATCTCATAATAAATAGCTCTCTAAGTCAAATATATTGACTTTATTAAAAACCCACTAAGTTTTCTTTTTTATCCCCTCATTTCACAACCGCTGGTCTTATAATCTGTGATTGGGATGCACAACTGGCTGTGATGAGGTGCCATTTAGGGTTTTAAGTATCGAATGGAGTCGATATGGGGTTTGAATGATTTACTCGGGCTCTGTGGAGGTTGAATTTGGGAAATGAGAGGAATGGAGACAGGGAGATCAGCTTAATGCTTTTGCAATAGTTCACATGAGGAGCTTACATTAAGATTTACTTGAGGAGGACAGTGATAAAAAAAAGACCATTAATTCCTTTTAAAACTGTCATTTCTAGAGATAGTGAGGTATGATTGAGGAGCGGCTCCTGACAACTTGACTGCTTTTATACTAACCCAAGGAGTATACATTAATTTGGCAAACTGTTGGTGGGCACCTCTGCTGTGTGAAGCTCTGCGTTTAGGATGTGAGGCTGAGGATGTGGTTTCTGGTCTCGAAGAGCTTGGACATTTATTCTCTTGGTTTATGATCGATTGATTTTAGAGAGAGAGAGACACACATCGATGTTGTTTTACTTATTTATGCATTCATTGGTGGACCCTTGCATGTTTCTTGATGCAACCTTGGCGTACCAGGATGACACTTGACCCAACTGAGCTACCTGGCCAGGGCTATTCTGTTGTCTTAAATGATGTTATTAAAACTGTCGTAAAATTCCCTCTGCTGTATACACAGTACATGTCACTTTGCCTTCCTCTATTTCAAAGAACTAAACAAAAAACCTTTTTTAATTAATTGTAATTGCCCTTTGACTCAGCACTTCCGTTCCTGGGCATTATCTTACAGATGTTTTTTCCCTAGAATCGTTATTCAGTAAATGTCCTTGTATACATTTATTTTTCCCCCTATATTTCACCTGGCTAACTCATACTCCGTTTTTTGTCTTGTTTTACCAGTATGTGTTACTTAAGAGAGTACGTCCTTGATTACCTAGTTAGAATCTGTACTACAGAATCCGTATAATCACATAGTACCTGGCACTTCATAGACTTCATGACACTTAGTAGCATTCTGTGTCTTTTCTATGTTAAAAGTGTTTGTTCTGTATTAATAAGTCCTTTGTCCATCTTTTTCTTCATCTCATCTTTTTCAGTGCTTTATTTCTAGGTCTGGAGCATGCCTGATGAATAAAATAGATTATTTTATATCACACCATTAAACAGCTTTATTGAGCTAAAACTGACAAACTCCACATATTTAAGCATACAGTTTGGCAAATTTTGATATATGTATATACTCATGAAGTCATCACCACAATCAAGATGTCAAACTTAGCTAACATTTGTCAAAATTCCACGTGCCCTTCTATAACCAGTCCTCTGTTCCTTCCCGTACCCCCTTCAATCCCTAAGCAACTATTGATGTGTTTTCTGTCTCTATATGTTAGTTTTTTGCATTTTCTAGAGTTTTATATTTGTGGAATTATACAGTATGTCTTCTTTTATTGTCTGTCGTCTTTTACTCAGCATAGTTACTTTGAATTCATCCATGTTGCATTGAGAGAGGGATATTGAAGTCTCTGACTATAATTGTAGATTTTCCTAATTTTCCTTGCGCATCTGTCAGTTTTTGCTTCATTTATTTTGAAGCTCTGTTTTGTTGTATAAACATCAATTATTGTGTCCTCTTGATAATTGACTCTTTTATCATTATGAAATAACCTTCTTTAACCTTGGTTAAAGACCTTCTTTAAGAAGTTTAAGTCTTTTTAAGAATACCAAGGTTAAAGAAGGTCTTTGGTCTTTGCTCTGAAATCTCTCTAATCATAAAATAGAAATGTCAGCTTGGTTTTGATTAATGTTACCATAGCATGTGTGTGTGTGTGTATTTATATATATTTTTTCCATCCTTTTATTCTCTTTGTATCTTCAATGCATTTCTTTATTGGCAGAAATAGTTGGGTCTTGCTTTGTTATTGAGTATGACAATCTCTTTTCATTCAATTGCTTATATTTAACGTGGTTATTGATTTTTGTTACATTTGGGTCTTTTATCTTGCTATTGGTATTCTGTTCCATCTAACCTTTGGGAAAATGGAATTTTCCCATTGTTCTGCTTTCTTTTGGACTGAATATTTTTTTTGTGAATCCATTTTATCACTTCTGTTGACTTATTAGCTATAGCTATTTGTTTTCTTATTTTGTTGCTTTGGGGTCTAGGTATACAGTTTTAACTTGCTACATGATGCATTTAAATGATAGTACAGTGCTTCACATGCAATGTAAGATTCTTACAGTAGTATACTTTCATTTCTCTCCTGCTGGCCTCTTTGCTAGTGTTGTCATGCATTTTACTTTTATGTATTATTATAGATTCACAGTATATTATTATTTGTGTCTAAATAGCTCATTATCACAGATGTAAATGATAAAAAAAATCTTATATATTTCCCCTATAGTTGCCATTTCAGGTGCTCTTCATTCTGTTATGTAGCTCCATATTTTTATCTGCATAATTTTCCTTCTGCCTGTCGATCTTAGTGATGAAATCTTCGAACTTTTGTATGTCTGAAAACATT